GCTGTATGATTAATGTTCCTTGTTCAATTCATGCTTTCTACATTTTAATGTTTAATATGGTTTAAAGAATATTTGTTGGACTACAGTTATCTATTGTTTTTAATATTTTACAATGATGGTTTTGCATTCAAATATGTTGTTTGCAACTTGCGTAATATTTTTAGTGTAAGCTGTGGTCAATAAACATATCTATCTATCTTTCTATATATTTAGGTTGGATTGGCGAATGGCAAAGCCAAATCCATAAATGCTGTTTCTTTCCGCAGCAGGTTTACCCTTCCAGTAGGTATAGCCAGGCTCCCGTTCTGTGAGTCGACCCTCTTCTGGGAGCCGGGACTCAGTAATGCCTGCCATGTCGATGTTATACCGAGCCATATCTTTTGTCACAAGGGTAGTTCTTCTCTTTCAGGACGCTCATTTATTCACACACACACACACACGCATCTTTATATATCCCAAATTTGATTATATATATATATATATATATATATATATATATATATATATATATATATATATATATATATATATATATATATATATATATGATTGATTGCAATTGGTAAACCTTCGTAACAAACAAAATATCTGCGGTTATTTCTTTTGAAGTGTTCGTTGAAAGTTTGCCAATTATTGAGCAATATTAAAGAAAAAAATATCCCGTGTTTGCTGAGCTCAACAACCTGAAACAAACCTGACTGCCATGATTCTACACAAAAGTGTTGCTATTATTTCTTTTACTCTCGTTTATTATTATTTTTTTATTATTAAATTATTATATTTCATTTACTTATTTTTCCTTGTGTGTGTGTGTGTGTGTTTTCGTGTACAGTTCTGATTGTTGCTTTTTTTAGTTTTGCTTATCGTATGTTGATAGTTGATTAGTCTGAAAATGACGATCTAGTTCTCTCTCTCAACTACCTAAGAATATAAACTGTTTTCATATACCATTTTTAAATGTAATTTTAGAATGTTGTTATTGCAAAAGTGTTATATTAAGGGTTCATTACACACACACACACACACACACAACTACAGCTACTACTACTATTTTTTTTTAAGTTATAATGGCCTCCATCCTCCCCTTATAGCCACACCTTCGCGACCATTTTATTACCTTAAAATTAAATATCCTAATACATACTGTAAATAGCTATCCTAGCTGTGTTGAGTAAGTTGAGCAGCAGGTCTATGCGGCATTCAGTGATTGTTGCCTCAAAGTCAATATCTGCAACTGTTGTCCGCTTTGGGGCGGATGCTCTCGTTCCCCTGAGGCAGTGCAAAGCCGACCTAAGGAGAGAGAAGGACAGTCGACATCTCATCCAAGCTGTAACATAACTTCTGCGCTGCTGCTTCTGTTCGGAGATCACCTCCGCGAGTCTGGCGTAAGCATCTTGCACTTGGTCCCATCCCACTAGAGGTTGTAAACACTAGAGGAGTGAAGCTGCCTTGATCAATGTTCTGAATTCTCTCCCGTATGCCCTTATCTTGTTGTTCTCGTTCCTCCTGTGTGCAGCATCGAGAGCTAAGTTACGTTAATATGCGGCCATGGGATAAAAAATCCTGATGTCGAAGAAGGCTTGCTGTCCCCTCGTCCAGAATCCTCGAGCACTGACGTCCACACGGGCTTCGTTAGATGTGTTTGAAGTCCTGTGTTGGAAATTCTCACCGTCCAATGGAAGGAGGGTCGGTTCTACCCTGACATCACGGCAGATTTCCTTCAACATTTTTGCTGTGAGATCCCTTACTTTGTCATGCCTCATGCATATGAAGCCCCCTTTCTTGCACACCATGGCGTGATCGACGTCATAGGAAGAGCCACACACGCATTGGTAGGGCAAACCTTCTACTGGCCTACTGTACCTTAGAGCATTGGCATCTGTAAACTCTTGTTTATTGAGACTGAAACCATTTGCCCTTATCGGTAACGTAGTTAACCAGTAGTGATGATGGATGGTGTTATATGTAGTGATGATGGATGGTGTTATATGTAGTGATGATGGATGATGTTATATGTAGTGATGATGGTGTTATATGTAGTGATGATGGATGGTGTTATATGTAGTGATGTTGGATGGTGTTATATGTAGTGATGATGGATGATGTTATATGTAGTGACGATGGATGATGTTATATGTAGTGATGATGGATGTTGTTATATGTAGTGATGATGGGTGGTGTTATAGGTAGTGATGATGGATGGTATTATATGTAGTGATGATGGATGTCGGTATATGTAGTGATGATGGATGGTGTTATATGTAGTGTTGATGGATGATGTCATATGTAGTGATGATGGATGTCGGTATATATAGTGATGATTAGACAATAAAATAATAACAGTTTAATGCTAAAAAAATATACTTTGCTGTACCGTTGTAGTGAAAAACATGGTGGAACTTACATACACCGTTAATGAACTATTGATGGAAGAAGAAGTTTTGGGGACTGAACAGTGAGACAATGTGGAGCCTCCCGGAGGGTGGGAGGGTGGCGTCCTACCGTGGCCTAGCGAATGAGCCGCCCGGAGGGCGGCGTTTATTCACTAGTGCGTATATATATATATATATATATATATATATATATATATATATATATATATATATATATATATATATATATATATATATATATATATATATATATGGAAACGTGGATAAGATAAATCTTGATAAAATCACACAGGGAAAAGGGAAACAATGGAGAATCATAGCTTTCGTCTTTATTCAAGATATCTCCAGAGGCAACTGAATTACAAAGACTGAGAGAGAGCTTATGTGTACAGGGTGACCTTACAAAACATAAGGTCAGGTCAAACAACATAACATCCACTAATCCACTGGGAAAGCAGTGCAACTCCAAATTAAACAGCACAAGTACAGTATTAGAACAGCATCTGAAAGCAGTGCACTGTTCGTTCATATAAGGAACAATAATCATCCCATAGATTGGGAAAACAGTTCAAAAGTGTACAAATCATCATGTGTCACAGAAAGACTTCTGGTTGAACCAAGTTTGATTAGAGAAATGTATTCTTTAAACCTTAGTGATAGTCCAGTACAAAACTTATATGTTACACAAATTTATTTCTCAGTGGCCCAAAGGTAAAAACGCTTTGAAAGCATGTAAGGTAGATGTATGATAGATGATTAGTGGGTCTCATATTTTTTACCTGGCGTGACGTCTCAGTCTTTGTAATTCAGTTGCCTCTGAAGATGTCTTGAATAAAGACAAAAGCTAAGGTGCTCCATTGTTTCCCTCTTCCCTGTATGATTTTATCAAGATTTATCTTATCCATGTTTCCATTGTGGATCTACATGATATATATATATATATATATATATATATATATATATATATATATATATATATATATATATATATATATATATATATATATATATATATATATATATATGTGTGTGTGTGTGTGTGTGTGTAAAAAACGTGATAACTATATCAAACAACTAGAGTCGTGCTTGCAGATTATTCAAAACATTGTTTGGGTCGCTTACACCACAATTACACACAGCATATGAATGAGTATTACAGAAAATATATGAGAGACCACGATATTGTTCAGGCAATTCCGTCCCAGTTCGAGATAAATATTCATGTAGCAATGACCTGACTTTACAGCTTCAAGGACTTTCCAGAATGTTGAGTTCATAATCAGAATTTGTTGAGCATGAAATTTTATGTTCACCTTTTTCTTATGCTTTCTTGATGTTTAAAATGTTACTCTTAGTCTTTTAACTTTATTAAATTGTTTTGTTATTAATACATTTTGAAGGACATTATCTTTACATTTTATTTAAATAGACGAATTTTGAACATCTTGTCCAGAGGGGGCCACAACACCTGGTGCTTGTGTTGACTTCCTAATGTCTGGCGACGATAGAGAGGTGAGAGTAATGATGCTTTATAAAGTAAGTGAATAATGTTCCAACTTCACTCACTGTACAGTTGCTATAATTAACTTAAATAATTTTCTGCTTATAGAAGGCGTAATAGTGTTAAAGTGAAATGATTTTAAATAGAGAATATTCCTTGTCACCGTTGGCATTGATGTTTACATGTAGGTCTGTGCTTCAGCAAGTGCGGTACTCGAGGTAGGTCGATGCACTAGACAATATAAACATTATAGGAAAATTATAATTATTCGTTCATATTGGAAGAGTCGTAACATATGCTGGTTGAAAGTGTATATTGAATTCATGCGAAGGTATTTTTACTTATAATACTGTGAATGTTATTAGTTTCTCTTAAAAATCTCTTGGGTAAAGCACTAAGTTTACCTCACCTGCCTATGGTCATCAGCAACTGAGGTTAACACAGAGTTCTATTTCGTATGATTGTGAACTATTGTTGGACTGATATAATTACCAACTTCATTAATTACGAGTTTATAGACCATAGTTGTAAGCCAAGTGATAACAATATTATAAGGTCAGACGTATAATGTTACCTCGGCGACGACAAAACAGGAATGCTTATCTAACCAAACTTATGCGCTTCACAAATCTCAGTGTGTAATGAAATCCTGTCACTTCTCAAAACAACAGAGAGGGCAAGTTACGGGGAACACACATGCTTAGATACTGTTTACAGCAAAGGCCCCCAAGTGAGTTAACAAAAGGAGACTAAGGTCATGGTATGGTTAGGTTAGGTTAGGTTCTCCTCCCAAGACAAACGCTTTCAAATGATGGTTTCATTTTCTAATACCTTTTACCAAGCTGATTTTTTTTTACTGAAGTTGAATCTACATTTGTGAAAGTATAACTTGTTAGATGAATATAAAGGAATCTGTTAACTTGATATATACATTATCATTAAAAGAGGCGCTTACATTGAGACACCCCGAAGTATCTCATCTCGTTGTTGACTGGCTGAACAAACACCTCCAGTATATAACAGTGATAACGAAGAACCTACGGCATATAATAACAGTAAGATCGTAAAATAATCTCAGAATAAATTACAAGACGTCAGGTACTTACTCATAAAGATACTGTTGGTGATGCGGCCGTCAGCGTCGATGGCGGCGATGGAGAAGTTGTTGGCGGCCAGGATGCGTATGGGTGTGTGTTGCCGGGAGACGATGCGGGCGGCCACCAGCTGGTCCATCACATGCACCTCTCCTCTGGCGATCATCCCTCCTTTAACCATCTGTAGACCGCCCATACCCTCCTGTAGGCGAGGATGATGGTGTTAATGGCGTGGACGATAATGGTGCAGGTGTTAGTGGTGTAAGCGAGTGGACCCCTGGTTCGATCCCCGGACAGGGTGAAACTGTGGATAAGTTTCTTTACACCATTTGCCTCTGTTTACCCAGCAGTAATTGGGAACCTGGATGTTAATCGATTTGCTGATCGTGTTCCGGGGTAATGGTTAGCGAGTGCAGTTAACGAGTTGTCCGGTCTTCTCGGACTATTCCTTGACAATGGGACAACTTGTAAACTGTGTGGTTGTTGTGTTGGCGACAGCTTCTACACCTTGAACAAATTTACACCTAGGTGGCCCTAGGGCTGGCCATCCTCGAACACGAGGGGTAACTATTATTGTTATTATTATTATTATTATTATTATTATTATTATTATTATTATTATTATTATTATGATTATTATTATTATTATTATTATTATTATTATTATTATTATTATTATTATTATTATTATTATATTATGATTATTATTATTATTATTATAGTGGTGTAGATGTTAGTGGCGTGGTTACTGGTGGTAGATGTTTTAATGGCACGCGTGTTTATAATTGATTGTGGCGTAGGTGTTAATGGCTAGCTTTGATTGATAATTGAGAATGATAATTCACACAGGTTAGGATTGTTATATGAGGATGATAATTAGGATGATATATGAGGAGGATAAGATAGTATATGTGGATAATAATTAGAATGATAGTCAGGATGATAAATGAGGATGATAGTTAGGATGATATATGAAGTATTAAGGATAAACAGAGTAAACTAAGATGACACAGAGAAGCTCAGAATCCATTGACCAGGATGATAATTTGTCAAAGAGCCCTTCACTGCTGGTGGCTTGAGCTACCTATCATAGGGACAGACACCCCTGCCCCTAGGGATGACCTCCACACACACACACTATTACTACTATTACTACTACTACTACCACTTTTTTTTAATGTGGCCTCAAGCCTCCCCCAATAGCCATTTATATAAATATATAAATACCAGATTATATGTACGTCAAGGTTAGTATAGTTAACCCACTGTACGGCATCTTTCGTTTTCTATGAATACTGCCTAGATGGCGTAGCGAACGGCGGCATTGAAAAATACACGCAAATTAAAGGGAGTTGAGCTTCCTTACTCTACCTTCCTTGGACAGGAGGCTCAGGCTCGGCCGGAGTGGGTAGCGGGGTCAGTGGAAGAAACACGGAAATCTATCACAGACCATTTACTCAATTTAGTGAGTGAATATCTTCCAGCACCACACACAAACACCTCAAAGATAAGTAACAATTAGCTTTATATAGAGGATTGTGAGTTAATACACTGTACTTAGTTAATAATTATATCTTTGAATCTTATTTGTGGCCATATATAGGTTAGTAGAAAACGAGGTGGTTCGGTACACTGAAACTTGTCTTTTCGGAGTATCGTTACGACGCAAGTTAATTCAAAATAAAAGGTAAATATTTCGGCGCTTGTTATTGATCATCTAGAATATATGAGATAGAATTAGTCCACTCAAATATAAGTAATAATTCAATAAATGGAACTAATAATTACTCATGTTGATTTGAGTGAGGATTGTTATCGGTATCCTATCAGGCTTCAAAGGATCTTCGAAGCCAAGTAGGTGATCGTCAATTCTCGTGATTTAATATTCCTTCTCCACCAAAGTTGAGTAGGAATCTTTATTATTTTCTTATTATAAACTATTATATGTTGGAGGGAGAGTCGAAGAGGGTTGGCTCATTATCTATTCTCCACAGTTTTTGTCATGACAGTGTCGAGAATACCCCATTTGGCACTGGGATTTGGGTTCTTTGTTGCCGGGTTGTGTCTTATGAACCGTCTCTCTGCTGCTCCGAGATCCCCTGCCGGTCTAGCCTGGGCCCACGAGGCACCCAGTTACCGTGTGTTGTCACGAGGCACAGCACGAGTCTTGATGGTGAAGAGGCTGTGTACTGGCAGGGTAGGAGGTGCAATTTGCTTCCCTGTTCGCCACGAGGGCTAGCAAGCGATGGTAGCTGAAAGCGAGAGGAAGCAGCAGTGCCACACTAGACACATTACACCCCTCCGTGTACACACACACACACACACCAAGCTCCTCCTCCTCCTTCTCCTCCTCCCCTTGTTCCTCTTCTTTTAGTTCCTCTTCCTTGTTTTCTTCTCCTTCTGCTCCTCTCTGCTTTCTTTTCATCCTCCTCTTCCTTACCTTTTCCTTCTCTTCCTTTTTTTTCTTTGTTTTCTTATTTTTATTATTCTCAATCTCCTCCCCCCCCCATTCTTCATCTTCATTCCCTTGCATTGTTCTCCTTCACCTCCTCTTCCTTGTTTTCTTCTATTCGTCATCTACTACTTCTTCCTTATCCTACTGCCCCTCCTTCTCGTTGTCGCCCTCCTTCTTTTCTTTTTCTTTGGCCTTTCTTCCTCCTCATCCTTGCCTTCTCTTCGTCATCGTTTTCCTTGCCCCCCACCCTCCCCTTCTTCCTTGCCTCCCTCTACTGCTGCTGCTCCACCTCCTGCTTTTCCTCTCCCTTGCCCTACCCTTCCTTCTCTCCATCCTCTTTCTCCCCCTCCTCCTCTTTCCTTTCCTCCTCTACTCTTTCTTCTCCTCGTTCTCTCTCTTTTTCCTCTCCTCTTTCTCCTACTCCTCCTTCTATTCCTCCTCCTTCCTCCTTTCCACGTTTTCTCTGTCCCCCATCTTCACGTCATTCTGTCCTTCCACCCTTGAAAAAAGTAGAGAGAGAGAGAGAGAGAGAGAGAGAGAGTATGTTGACATTATACCTACATTACCGCAGTCATGTCCCACCCTCCCCCCCCCTCTTTGTTTTTATCTATTCATTAATCTATTTTCGCTCTCTCTGCGTCTCCATTTCTTAATATATTTTCTCTTTCTTTCTCTCTTCCTCTATCCTTTCTCTATCTCTCTTTCTTTACTGTGTCTGTTTATCCATTCATTCTTTATCATCGCTTTCTTTCCTTCTATTTCTATACGCTTGTTTCGCTGTTTTTCTTTTATTTTATTTTATTTTCTGTATCTGTCTGTCTTGTCTTACACACACACACACACACACACACACACACACACACACACACACACACACACACACACACAGGAAAAAAGAACATCTACCTATGTAAGTGAATCTAAGTCAACTTGATCACACTTAAACGTCACCGAGACGTGTATATAAACTGGGTCATACATTTTAAACATCTCTCATGCATAAAAGAATCTCTCTCTCTCTCTCTCTCTCTCTCTCTCTCTCTCTCTCTCTCTCTCTCTCTCTCTCTCTCTTGTTGATCCCATTTTGATGAACAAGATATATAGAGAGAGAGAGAGAAAGAGAGAGATCCGGTAAAATCATCTTACAATTCTATATTGTTTTAGCATGTATATAACTAATACACTTATTCAATACACATAAGACAGAGCAAGTATACATACAACAACCATAAACAATGAAATTATACATACACTATACATAAACAATAGATATACCTGTACATACAATATATTCATAAACATACAATATACATAAACATTGCAGATAAACACAGTATACATAAACAGTACAGTTATATACACAATATACATAAGCAATTCTAATATACAAACATTGAAAAAAAATTCAGAATAAATTTGTCCCTCTCCTCCCCTGTTTCCAAATATAGACGTGTGTGTCAGGGAATGTAATGTCTGCAACAAGGGCTATGCATGACTTTACATTGCATGGTGTAATTACTGTATCCTATCCCAGCTAAAGACGGAAAAAAAAAATGCAGTCTTATGCTGATCCTACGCTCTCCTTCCCTCTTGGGCCAGGGTAACGTGAGCAGGGTTTAGTGTATTGGTCCTTCTGCCCTGTCATTGGGGTTGTGATGATGATGATGATGATGATGATGATGATGATGATGATGATGATGATGATAATGGTGGTGACGACGATGGCGGCGGCGGTGGTAATAATAATAAAAATAATAATAATAATAATAATAATAATAATAATAATAATAATATTTGTCGTGGCATTTCGCAATTTGGATATATTTCCATAAGATAGACAGATTCATAGTTATAGTTAAGAAATATCTGAAGAAAAAATATTTAAAGGAAAAATCTTGATTAGTAATTATTTTTACCATCGAAGTTACGTAGTTGTATGATCTCTCTCTCTCTCTCTCCTACCTGAGCTTGGGTAGGAGAAGGTATGAAATGGGGTAAACTTTCATGTGTCACGTAACTTTGCCAGAGTCTGTTGGTGAGTCACGCCAGTGTTGTGATAGTATTCTCATCGGCCACCCAACACTGCCTGACGACCAACGCACATAATTAACCCGAGGACTGACGTGCAACTGTAGGGGTGGTACAAGTGTTTAAGGAAAGTACATACGTGTTTTAGAGCACGTGTAGAAGAGGTATGTGTGTTGTAGACCAAGTGTAAGGTAGGTACAGGTGTTCTATGGCAGGTGTAGGGAAGGTGCAGGTTGTTCTAGAGCAGGTGTGAGGGAGATATATATGTGTTAGAGGTTAAAGATATCTTTGAGGCCAGCGTGTGTTGGTGTCGGTGCTTCACCACATAACTCTGTGGTTCCTGACATTTAGTTTGGGAAGTTTTAGATTAAAATAATTTATTGTAAAAGTTGCAACCGGGAAGTTTAACAATCTCACATAACTTAACCTAACATAACTTAACCTTAATATCGTTAGGTTAAGTTATGATGTAACGTATTGCAGATTCCTTATGTTCTTATAAACGACTCTGATCTAACCTAACCATCTTAAGCTGCAAGTCCTGGGATAAAACAATTTGACGCCACAATGTTTGTCCAGCACGCAGGGGACAGTCATAAACTTAGTCATAAACTAGCAAATATTATCTAGAATTGGTGAGAAGTCCATCAGTTAGGCGGTGATGGTTGTTGTTGTGAGTGAAGGTGTGTAACACTGTCTCACCTCACCTCACCTCACCT